CTCATTGTGCAACAAACCTTAGAAAAGTATGCCATATTCATAAATGTTTTTCTTCAAAGACCAGCACTACCACCGAGGAAACAAGCCTCATCCACTTGCACTCCTCAGTCCATGACCAAACCAACAAGCTAGGTTTGTACACAATTTAGACTGAATATATGCCCCACTTAAGGTCTTCAAGACAAGCACTTATAGACATGGCTTAATTGTTCTCACACTAAGAAAGAATAAGCAAGTGGGCTTGTTTCTGTAGCAGATCCCCTGTGCTCAACAGGGAGGCAGTTTAGACCTGCCCTTGACAACTTCACCCATGCTTATGTAAAAATGTAATAATTCCCCTCAAATTTCTCCCCGACTTTTTTCAACCTCTGCTTTCTTGGTTAATAACAGGTTTTAGGCCACTTCCCTGAAAAGCAAGAGAAATATAAAAGGGGATGTAGAGCTATCCTCCGCTGAACTTAAGAATGTTTGTAATACAACATGTTTGGCTGGACAAATTTTCCAGCAGATATCTTGATAACATAGCCTCTTCTCCCCATTATTCTGAATGTCTGAACTCCTGTCAGATGGGTTTCAGCAGGCAGGAAACAAGCAAGTACGTCAGAGTGCCCATCATTACCTTCTGCATCTGCCTGTCATTATCCTATGAGTCAATTCCTTCTGGATCAAAATTCAAGGAGCAAATGCCTGCCTAGAGTACATGGAACACTTAGTGCTTGTAATAAATGTGCTTAAAGCTGGAGTGGCAGTCATAAGCTTACTCTGAAAATGTTTTCTGCTTTTGGCAGAATACAGTACATTTTTTCTTATTACAAAGCATTCCTGATTTAATGCATGGAAGATGCAAGTATATTTTCATGTTTATTTCTTTTAATATTAAAGTTGAAATCTTAATAGTAAAGCTATCTGTTTACCTACTTATAAATGTAAAGAGATAATGAAAGTGGATGGGAATGATACAATTAAGACATTGTGAAGGCAATAGTTAATTTCTTGAATTAAAGGAAAAGAATCACAGCATTCCTCAGCATTTAATTAAATGGAGGTGGAGCATGGGAAGTAACTGATCATCATTTGCCCTGAGAGAACTTAGCACAGAAGCTTACTAAATGGAAATAAATACCTGAAATTAAGCTAGCTGTTTGCAGAATTTTACAAATTACCCCACATACCACATAATGTTGTGAAAGTATCAACAGAAACACATTGTAAACATATCAGTTAGCAGTTTGTTCATCCCCGCATTGATTATATAGTTGTAATACCTCACTGTAGACAAGGTATTGCACACAGTAACAGGTCAGATCCCCAGATCTGAGAACAAGACCTGAGAGGTCAGGGGAAAATTGAAGCAATGACTGCATATATTAGACCATGGCATACACACAGAGCTACTCTGATTAACCCTGATTCCACCTAGCCACAGCCATTCAAACACCTGATCATCTTCCTGGCCACTCAGGAAGACTCTGAGAGGGAAGCAAATGGCATAGGGCTAATTATACCATCTTTATGCTTTCTGTGATTTTTCAATGTCAGTGTCTACCTGCTTGCTTTGTTAAAGCAGACCTCGCTCTTCTTTGCCCCACCCCATACATCACAAAGGAGATGGAATTGGTGGCCATCATTAAGTTGCTAAAGGGCTCTGGAGAATTTAACATGACATAAATGTAAACCCTGAAACAAAGCTAACTTTTTTATTGTCTTAGCTGGCGTAGCAGACATTATTAATGGGCATGTCTATACAGACATTATTAATGGTCATCATATGATGCAGCCATATTTAGTATCCAGCTGCAGTATTTACATTGCTGACCAACTTCAAAAAATTTCACAGGCTAATTATACCCTTCATAATGATGTCTTCTGCATAAAGATGCCAATATGTTTAATATATAGATCCCTTTCCATGTGCCAGCTGGTACTAAATGTTGCCTGAGATGCTCAGATTCCCTCAGAAAACAAACCAATGTCTAAATAGTTTGCAGTTTATTCCTCTCTACTGAAAAACTAGCACATGTTGTTTATAACTCTGAAATAGCAGCAGCTGTTACTACAGCTTTGTACAAGTATGGAAAAACGATTATTTTCCAGTGTGTTGCCATTGGTTAGTCTCTGTAATGACATCATTATGCTCTGCAATATATTTTGGAAGACTGGCCAAGCTTCATGTCACTGAAATTAATAGAACTCTTTTTACAGTTGGATTCCCTGCCAAGATGAGGTGAATTTCCTCCGATCAAATGTACATTTCCAAATCTCTGATTTAGATTCTTTCCAAGTATGTGAAGAGTGCAAAAATCTACCATAATGTAAACTATCCCACCTACAGTTTTTTTAAGCAATAAGTAAGCCTTTGCTTTTGAGAAATGCCAGCGTAAGAAATTATTTTCTGCACTTCCACTCATCAATTCAAGCCAAAAATATTATTTTAACATTTCTAAGCATAGTGGGGTTTTTAAGACTGCTGGTTTGCATGGGGCAAAGTCTGTTGGGAGATCTCAGTCAAAAACTCAGTCTGTTTATGTATTACAATGCTAACACATAATGGCTTCATTGTACAGTTGTCTACTTATACACACCATCAGCTGCTTCAATGGGCTGCAGATCATGCTAGGGTTGATATGTCAGGATTGGTGGTAGTGGAAGGGTACATTACTACTTACTGTTTATAAATCTGTTTTATAAAACTTTACCACATCGTATTTAGAAAGGAGTTAAAATATCGCCATACCTGAGACTGTGCATTGATAGTGGCTCCTTCTTTAAGCAGGACTTTGACAACTTCGGCCTGTCCAGCCAAGGATGCAATGTGCAGGGCTGTATTCCCTTTCTGTTATGAAAAAAGATATCAACCCTCATTAAAAAACAGTTTAGACAGCAGCTGATTATAACAGTCAGAGTACAAGTCTACGCTAAGGCATGCCTTCATAGAATCCTGATTTACTCTGCAGCCCATAATGCTGTGCATACGTTACGTGGGAGAGAGCTGAACCTACAGCCCTACGGCATTCCAGAGGGGTGGTATAACAGCAACTCTCATGGATATAGTCCTATAACCTTTTGGGGTATTGCCTAAAGAGTTTTTAAGAGAAAACTAATCCATTACTTTCAGAACATAAATTTCAGTGGAATTAATTAAGGTTTTAGGTTAAATAAGAGGTAGACTACATCTCAAAATGCAAACAGAGGGCACAGGAAAGAATGACATTACTTAGGTAGTACTATCTGAGGCAAAAAAAAACCCCAAATATGTTCCAATGTCACTGTTGGGAGTCCTTGAGATAAAACTCCAAAGGACTTAAGAACACAGAACTAACATGGAAATAATATGTTCTGGTTTAAGAGGTGCTAATCTCAGAGCTGTTGCTGCTGTTGGTAAAATTAATGTAGGGTGTTGGTAAGGTGATGAAGTACATTAACAGTTTTAATGCCATACACCAAGTAGCTAAAGTGATGAGAATAAAACAGCAGAATAAGTAGTTTTATTTTTAGATTAGGTCTTCAGTCTGAAGTGTATCCTAATAGCCTCTTGGAATCCACTCTTATCACTGCCTGGTTTTCCCAATTAACTGTTCTTTGCTACAGTAAATAATTGCTTGTATATCTTTTTTATTTCCTAACTTAACCAAAACCATACTTTTATAGACATTTTAAGTTTAGCACTAAATGTTTTATAGTAAAGATTTTCTGAGTTCTTTAAATACCATCATTGCTCTCAAGCCTTTTAGGTCACTCGCATTAAAAATGAGAGGACCACTGCTGAGTGCAAATCAACCTTAAAACTTAGGTTCTTTTTTAAGTTACAATTTTAGTTATATTGATATGGTTGTAACCTGTGAGGCTGGATTATAAGAATAAAATGAAGTAGGTACAATTTTATAAGTCGGTCAGTCTCTCTGTCTTTCTTTTTTTTCCCCAAAGGAATCACTTAATACAGTCGGTAGTATTATTGAGTTTTCAACAGAATTACAGAGTCCAAGGATTCCAAACCAGAGTATAGACTAAATAGAAAAATGTGACATTATTACTTTCTCTCACTCTTTCAAGTGGGGGAGATGGGAAATTTCTTGCTCAACGGGATTCTATGAGATAAATTAGTAGATTATAGAATCTAAATTTTAGTGAAGCTCAGATGAGGACCAAACCTTAAAATCCAAGTAGGAACTCTCAGAATAAAAGTGTGTTTGTTTTTTTTAAATCTGAGGTTAGTTTGGAGGCTGAAAGCAGTAAATTAAGACCCCCTAAATTAAAAAGAAAGACAGGAGTCTGAAGGACAGGAGTGGAATTCTATGATATGGGAGAATTGTGGAGTTCTTCCATGCTGACTCATGGAGAAAAATGATATTTAGTTATAAATGTAATAAGAATTAGACAAGACAGGTTATTCCTTCAACTC